AAGAGACGGCTCGCAGTGCCAGAGCTAGTAAAGAAACATCCACAGAGGGAGCTGGAAGAGAGCTCAGTGTGCCATAGCAACGGCTCAGTCTCTCACATCATGCCCTCAATCCACTCTGCAGAGACAGTGGCTTCGGTGTGCTGCCCTGACACCGAGCGGAGAGGCAGCATCCTCTCTGTGGCCTCCAACAAGGTGGTCACAGCATTCATTCCTCGAAGCATGGCGAGGCGGAACAGCGTCTTCCCCTCTGGGTGTATTCCTCAGATCAGTGTGAACAGGCCTTCAGACCAAACACCGAAGAAAGAAAAGAAAAAGAAGAAGAAAGACAAGGGCTACCTGGAGCCACCTAAGTGGAAATACAAGGAGCAGAAGGAAGAGAGGAAGAAAGAGAAGAAAAATGCAGAGAAAGAAAAGGAAGAAAAAGCAAATAAAAAGGAAAAAGGCAGCAGAAAGACAAAGAATTAATATTCCTACTTTCAGGAACATTTTCTTCAAAACTTCTAATTGTTTAATCAACATGTTTCAACAACAAAGCTCCTAAGTGTGTGCCTTGGAGTTTGTAGCCATTCAGGTTCATGCCTGTCCTACCCATAGAACAGCTTGTCTCTAAACACTGAGGTCCAGGAAGCTTTCCGTGTAGGTGTTAAAAATCTTTTGGCAGGGTTTTACAGTAACTTATAAAAATTCACCAACATACATTATATGCATGAAGCTGTTCACTATTGTTTATAAAAAAAAATACTATTTTTTTGTGAGTATTTTGTAAATAATCAAGCAATAACTAACCTTTTATGATATAGACAAAAACAGTTTAGACACATAAGACTCATAATCACCCATTTTCTATCAGGTTCAGTGCCATCTCATCACAAAATCATTAAAACAAAGAACCCACTATGTAATATATACAGTATCTGGCACCAATCCAGCACTAACATGGTGGTATAAGTATCGGTGAGTACCGACAAATAGGGCACTGATACCATTTTGAGAGCCAAAAGTTTATTCAAGTACTGTCACCCATTCAAGGTAGTCAATAAAAAGTTCTACTGGATTCACTTTGTTTTAGTCTTTTTCCTGTTTCACAAAGGTAGGCAGCAGCTTGACAAAGCCATGATGGCAATTATTTTACATCCAAGTAGTATGCAGTTCTTCATATATACACACACACACACACATCAATTTCAAACAGATGGTCTCAGTATGGTATCTGTGACAGCCAATACTCCACAGCCAGGTATCGGGGCCAAAAAATGTAATCGGCGCAAAACGAATAAATATCAGTATTTTTTTAATACATGGTTTTAATATCAGAGTTGGATCAGTGCAAATTATTATTTTTTTTTTGCTGCTTAATACATGTAAGGACTTCCTTCCTTTTTCGGTACAGTGCTGTGCAAAAGTATACATGCATCCATTTTTTTGTTAAAACTACAAACCTAAAAAAAAAATCATATTTCATACTTAATCTATAGCAGGATGCAGTTTGAGATTGCAGAAAAATACATCCATACATAAGCAACACAGATACAACATAACATCTTGCAGGATCAGTCAAAAAGGATTAGAGTTTTGTATTTAGCTTCCTTTAATTTGATATCCTTAAATAAAATCCTGTGCAGCAAATTGTCTTTAGAAGCCATGACTTTTTAAAAAGTCATTATGTTGTAAAGGTACTAACTCTATAAATGCAGCTGTTTCACAATGACCTCAGAAGTCTGTTTAAGAACAACAGTAAGTAAAAAGAAGCTTTAAAATCATGGCTAAAGCGAACAGTTTAGGGAGAAGTTTGTGGAGATGTTGAAAGGAGAGTTATAACTATGTGACAATAAACCAACCAAGTGCATCTTCCTGATCACACCATCCATAGAGTGAAAGATGGTGGCTGCAGAATCTTGCTAGGGAAATGCTTGCCTTTGGCAGGGAAACAGAATATGGTCAGAGTTGATAGATAAACATACAAACAGAGCCATGCTGGGATGATTAAAGAATATGCATGCAAAATATTATCTCATGTGTAAAGCCCAAAAAAAATGTACCTTTAGAGAGAAGCTTGGTTATGAAGCATTGTCAGGAATAAAGCCAGTCTAAAAAAAAGCACTTTTCAGATCTGTGTTCCTCAAACAGACAAACAAAAAATATATTCCTTTCGTGTAGCATTTGCTACTTTGCGATTCTATCACATAAAACTACGGTAAGTTGCGTGATTTAAAGTTATAACATGACAAAATGTAGAAAAGTTCAAAAAATCTGCAATTACTCTTGATGGTAGATTTATCCAAACAGCTGCCGATTTATTAATTTGCAGCCTGCGTGAATGTGAGGGGATGATATTGAGGGTACAGATTAATCTAATGCAGTTTTCTGATATTGCCAACAACTGGTCTCCAAGACTTTAATTGTTCTTACATATTTAAGTGCATGCATCCAACTTGCTTAAAGTGTAAAGTAGAATTGCAAAAGTTGGTATTATATGCATTAGTATCTTAAGCTCTACGTTGTTGCCTATATATTGCATATATGTCTAGAATTCATAGATGATTGTGTACCAGGAAATAAAAGACTCTTGAACCAATGGTTTATATTACTGCAAGTAACAAATATCTTATTGAGAATTGACCACTTTATTGATTAACAGAATTTTATAAATATCAATTTTAAAAGTCACGAATCATGATATCAAGAATAATATATTAAATGTTTATAAACTTCTAAACACAGTGATGCAGATAGGTGATGATTGTGCTCGGTTTTCTGACATAGGACTTAGGCAGCCTAATGTCATTTGGTCATTACTTCTTCTCTATATCAACATTTTCTGCAGCCAAATGTGACTAAAGGCAGACTGCAGAGTTTTCTGGATAGATAGAGAAATGTGTGGTTTCCTGCATTGTCATGTATTTGGTTTACAAGTGTGTTTCCTGTGGAGGTGGCTCTAAGATAACCACTGTTTGAGGTGCTGCTAAAGCAGAGTAAAACAAGACAACAAAAATCACATTTAACTCTATAGATATACACAGTGTAAGTGGCATTTCCAGACTAAATATACCATTGATGCCAAAGATTGGGACAGTGTTTCTTTCATGGGGACACTAAAAAAAGAGCGAAACAAAACAAAAATATTCAGAGCGCCAAAGTGCCACTTGAACTCATGGGCACCAAAGATTTAGCTTATAAAAACTTGTGCCTGCCTGAATATGAGAGAAGATAAAAGCTGATCAACATTTTATACAATAGCTAAAATGTAACTGCTAAAAAAATGGATTCTGTGCCAGTCCATATCATAATTAGACACTAATTTAGCATTATGTGTTTCTGAAAAGAGCCTCTCTTTCAAATATGACAAAAATATAGGTCAGCATTCCTATAACACATCTTTTGTAGGAATTAACATAAATATATTAAATGAAGATTTATGATCTGATACGACATCAAGTGTTGTGAATCACTCATCTTATGATGCAAAAATATTATCAGTAACTTTACCGGATACTGTTTCAGTGCTAACCTCTGAACCTTGAATGGATCAATTCAGATGTATTAATCATAACAGCTTACATAACTAAAAGAAAATCAGTAAATTAAGAGTGAAAAGCTAACTTGATCACCTGTGAAGAAGTAAATACCCTTAAACATAAGGATGTGAACCCATTGATGGTAACAGGCACCTTCAAGCACCTAAGAAATGGTTGGATTAATAACAAAACCCACTCTTCTTTGCAGATTTGTTATAGCTCAGCAACATGGGAGATTGATCTCCCATTGGCCTACTCAAAGTCTAAAAAGTCTTGCTGGTGTTTGAAATAATTGTTGCTGCATAATCCAAGTATGTTTGACTTTAAAGTAAGGATTTTTTGTTAGAAAGTAGGTTCTACCAATCAAACCAGCCATGGATGTACTGAAAGGGGCCTGTACTATCAGACTTCAATGGTTAGGTACAAGTATGATGCCATTTTCTAAAATGCAGCTATGTAAAGCTACCACAATAGTTCCACTTTTGTCAAATGAGACCTTTTTGCTCTTCTTGTCCAGTGTGGCTTCAACCTTGAAGCTCTCCCGGGGATATATTTGTTACCGACTGTTTTCGCATGGTGACACCCAAAATACCTCTACAAATGATGCCTGTAGCGCATTAGATAGGATCTTAAATGAGCCTCAACTTTCAGGTTTCATTTATTCAAGAGCCACCCAAGCATTTTTCATATAAAGAATGTTAACATTAACTAGACATGCAACATTTTAGTGAGACAATCAGACAAAGTAGTCAGATTGCTGAAAATATTTCAGTTCTAAATAATATAAATCCAGGTTGTATAAATAAGGGTTTTGCTTAAATCCATTTTTTCCAATAGTTTTCCAAACTTTGGAACTGAATTGTTTTCTACTTTTGTCAAGAAAATGTCTTGTGGCTTGGCAATTATAACTTTATATGGCTCATCCTTTCTTTGTGTATCTGTCAAGTTTTAGCAAATGCATTAGCTGTAGCCTGCTTTTTAGTAAGAGTAATAATATGTTTACTAATTTTTACTATTGAAGGGACATCAAAATTTTATTAAATAATTAAAAAAAAACATTTGTCTTATACAATTTTAAGTTTTGTCAGTTAAGATCTACCGCTAAAAATATTTTGAGAGTCCGGGCCACACAGAATAATTCCAAGGACCATAAATGGCCCCTTGGAAACACTCTGAACACCAATGTTTTGACTGTTCGGGTCCATTGTGATCTCCTAAGTGCATTGTTGGGTTTGAAGAAATGTTGGTAGACCAGTCAAAGCTGGGAAGGTTTCCTCCAGGATGACTCACACCTTAAAAGGTCATAATCTAACAGTCTTATGGCCTCCTTTCAGATTGACAGATCCTAATAATTCAGTTTAGTATCTGCTTCTCAATAGTCCCACCTGCTGAATGAACGCAGTGCTTAGTCAGTTTTCTTTCCTTTAAATCTTTACATCATAGCGACTTCAGATGCTTTTTGTTTCTTCACAGTAGAGGGCTCCAAAGGTGAAGGATGACCCACTCACGGAACCCGCTAGGGCTATAACCATTAATTACAGTTTATCTGTAAACTGATTGGACTGTTTACTCTTAACAAAAAACTGTCTTATTTTTTTCCTTGTCAGCGCTGTGGATATTTGCAAGAGATGGGGGAATGTGTCCTCTGCTGTTCCTGATACTCTCTGGGTATTGCTGAGTGCGTATGCTGCTAAATGAGAGAGAGGCCCCGGACTACTGCTGAGCTCATGTTATTAAAAACAAACACTTCTCAGAATCATCTCTAGCTGCTGCCACCAGGGTTAAAGTTGGAACGCACCAGGGAACATGAGAACGTTTGCAAGCTAAAAGGTGTTTCAAGCAGAATCTTTAACCTATTCTTTTATACACAGGAACACTTTTTAAGCCAAAAGATATTCCTACTCCTAGTAGATTTAGGTTGTAAGCCTTCCTTAAAAGCTCAAATGTTTAATATTAATGTTTTAGAATCACTCTGGAATTAATCTGAGAGGATGCAGAGAGTGCTAAAGATTAAGGTGATGAAAAAGATGCATTCAGCTTTAAAGACTTTGAACTCATCACCAAAGATACACCATCACAATACCACAGGGAATAAGTAAAAAGGGTTTAATTGTTGTATTATCCAAATAAAGATTGTTCCTTTAATTTTAGCATTTTCTGTTAGCGTGCATTCATCATCTTAACCCTTTTTAGAGTCGCTGGTGCTGATCTTCAGTGGTCTCTGGCCAAGAGGCTCGTCTTTTTTAATGTCTTCCTATTTTTCTACACTATAATTTTTGATTATCTGTAATCTAAACCATCATAAAATATATTAGTTTGCTAAGATTAAAGGTATAGTGGAGGTTTTTGTTCATTTTTGAAAAGATCCGCCCCCTCCACTTAAAAAGAAAAATGCACATGTACATCCCTGTACCCACGCCCAAGAGGGAAAACTTATTAAACGCATGCGACAGCATGCACGAGTCAATTTCTCCTTGCGCACGCTGTTTAAAAGTTGCTTTTTGCATCGCTAATAGAAGCTTACTTTCCAAAAGATTAGCCATTTTTCCACTATGTCAGGACGGCCTTATGTAAACATAACACCAGAATAATTGACAATTCGGAGGACCACTTATTTTTAAGGTCCATCTGGAAAAAGAATATCCTCCACTAGATCTAGTGGAGGATATAAGAAAGTTTCCTATACCTTTAAACTTTTTTTATGAGACTTGTGACCCATAAGCTGAAATAATATCAGTAAATAAGTGGGTGTTAGGATAGAGAGCTGGTGATTCATGCAAATTACAAACACAAACTTATAAGTTTATTTGACATCTTTTAAATTAAGGATATCAGATTAGTACAAAAAACAATGCATTTCCATGCAGGTTTACACACTTCATCAGGACATTAAATGTTCCTCAGATTTCCATCTAAGAAAATGGAATGAAAATGTTGTTTTTTAATAGTGATTCTTAGTGATTATTTTCTCTTAACACAATGGATTAAAATAATAAAAAAGAAGAAGAAATCTGTTACATTTTGATTGCTCCAACTACCAAATAAACTGAATTGACCTTTAAATAGAGGAAGTCTTGCCTACAGTATTTTAAATTTGTGATGTAGCGACCAAATTAGTTTTACAATATCATCAACCAATGTAGGTGCCATTTGCAAACAAATGATCCATTACATATGTACTAACACATGACAAAAAAAAAAGAAAAATACACAAGTATGTAGCGTTTTTGGGACATGTGGATAAAAACAAACACAAATAAAAGAAGCTGAATAAATGAGGCTTAATCGGTTTTGTTGGAAACTTTTTTGAGCTGAGAGATTGTAATCCCAAACTGCTTGTGCTAACATTCTGCAGCCTTCAAAAACACAGACTTAAAGAAAAATTCAACATCTTTTTTTTTATATATTTAATGAGGGAACAATATTTAGACTTTCTGATGTCGCTGAAAGTTGCCTTTTTTAGGACATGAGCAAATGAATGGAAATAATCACTCAATGTTAAAGTCACTAACTGATGACAAACAGATATACTGTTTACAATGACGTCCATCAAAACTAAACATGAATTTAAACAAACAACGAAAATTAAAGGAACGATAAGAGAATAAATGGATAGCTATCTTGAAAGCTTTTAAGAAAACGTCTGATTATCAGCTCGAGTTGCAGCATCCGATTTAACTCTTAGAAGAGTCTAGTGCCTTTGTTCACTTCAGCCTTAAAATAAATTGAAATGCTGGTTAAATAGGGGAATGTTTTAAAAAAATTTAATCTTACTTCATAAAATAAAGGGGCAAAGAAGATAAATGTGCTGGATTTCTCCGATTTCTTCAGATTTTAAACTCCCCACACCTAATAGTGACTTTGAATTTGGCTCAGGCTCTATAAATCCTGACCTTCTACAATTATATAATTGCTGGATAGAGAAAACCTGACAACTTCACATTTTTCCAGAGATGGTGAAGACTTTCTATGTGGGTGTTACAGCAGAAGGCAACGTGCTCTCATATTTCTCCTCCCACATGCTTGTACTTTCCGTCTGGTCTTTTCGTAAAACAGCAAAATGTTCCTAACTACTCCCTAAAGTTTGTGCCTGTCAAAAGAAAAAAAAGACAAATGAAACCACATCAGTACCTTAATTGATCATTTACATGAATCCAAACATGTTGTAATGATCAAAGTAGTATTTTATGTGAAAACAACTCCACCTCTTCTCCATCGGGCAGCACCAGCGCCTGGAGGATATCCGACAGGGAGACTATCCCCTTCACTACCTCGTGCTCATCTACCACCACTAGTCTGTGAACCTGCAGGAAACAAAACAACTATTATCAGGATTAGCCTCAGAAATGTACAATAAAAAGATTTCATTAAAAAAGGACAAAAATGAAAGTGTGAGGTTAGCAGGAAAAATATGCTGAAGAAATAATCATCTGCACTTTTATGTAGATGGTCGTAAATTATGTTTTTAACTTCATAAATTAAACCAAAGAAGTGACAGTTCTGAGAAACTAGTCCATGCATTTGTTACTTCAAGGATGGACTATTGTACTGTTAAATCTGGAAGAGAATTTAAAATCCTCCTTCTCACATATAAAGCCACCAAGCTCCATCTTACATCAGAGAAATGATTGTTCCTTATGTTCATAACAGAGCACTTCGCTCTCAATCTGCAGGTTTACTAGTGGTTCCTAGAATTAGCAGAATGGGAGGCAGAGCTTTTAGTTATCAGGCTCCTCTCCTGTGGAACCAACTGCCAGTTTTAGTCTGTGAGGCAGACACCCTGTCTACCTTTAAGGCTAGGCTTAAAACTTCCCTTTTCAATGAAGCTAATAGTTAGAGTGGCTCAGGTTATCCTGAGCTATCTCTATAGTTATGGTGCTATAGGCTTAGACTTGTGGAGGACGTGTGATCACTTTTCATCATTCTGCTCCATTCTATCTCTATTCTCCCAATCTGCAGAATTTGTTAGTTCAATCTCTATCATTCCGCTGTCTCTGCTTTTTCCTCATAGTAGCTTCATCTGGTCTGTTGGTGTTTGGCTGCGACTCCATCCTGGAGAGAAATACCAGCCGTGCCGATTCCATTAACATCTCTGTTTATAGATTTTTAGCTCTGCCTGTTTTTTTGTGTAGTCCTGTTTCTCTGACTGTGACTAACTTTATGTGCTCTCTTTCATCCTCTGACATGGGAGCTGGCTCGGAGCTCGTCTGCCTGGCTCTGTTTCCTAGATGGGCCCTGTCTGTGGAGCTGGTTGACAGTTGACTTTTGTATCTCTGCTTCTGTCTCCTTGAACCCAGGTCAGCCTCGGCAGATGGCCACTCACACTGACCTTAGTTCTGCTGGAGGTTTTTTTCTGTTATAAGGGAGTTTTTCCACTCCACTGTCACTACAAGGCTGCTTGGTGTGAGGGATTGCCTTCAAGTAAATTTGCATTTTCCCATTCTCTAAATAATTAGTGTTTTCTTTTGTTATAATTTTGGAAATCGGCAGAAAGAAGCATTGCAAAATATATTTTGTATATGTGTATCTGTAGAAGCAGCTTTTATTGTCCTACAGTGGGGAAAATTATGGCTCATCAATGGCTAAGAAATGGGGCAAATGTATACAAATAAGTTCAGACATCATGACATGCAAACTAAATTAAAAACATGAAATAGATAAAAGTTTGCATCAAAAACAGAAATCAAACAATTTCAATAGACTATATGGTACATGATAAGAAAAAAGAAATGCTGTTATCTGGACTGAAACAGCATCCAAGCATCTCATTTTTAGTAAAACACTCTTACTAATGAAATGCTTTTATTGCACCAGACAGTCCAGAGCTCACAGTGACTCCCACATAAATCACAGGCTTGACTTTACCCACAGAAAGGGAGAGGTTAGAGTAGAGGGGGGTCGGACCTTTTAGACCTGTTGTAGACCCTGCCATGCTTTTCATTTCACATATTTATTAAAGTCAGTTTACAGCACATGTTTCCTAGAAGTCATTTAACTACCATCTCATAATTTCCATCATTTCTGAATGATGATTTTACAGCAGTCATCAGTGAATTAGTAATCATAGTATCATAAATGTTCTCTTTTTTTAGTCTGATATCCAAAAATGGGGTAATGCTGTCTGCACTCCTCACCTCAGCCTCCACCAGTCTGTTGATGATGGCCTCCAAGGTCTCATGCCTGTTGCAGGTCAGGACTCCCTCAAAGCACTGTGAGCGGTGCTTCAAGGCTTTGGTCACAGTCACATCCAGGTTGTTGTACGTTTTCTCTGCAGCCAGGTTCTGTCAGAGCAAAAACGCGCTGTGTATAATTTTCCTGTGTAACACGTGTTCACAGAAATGCGTCTACATGAACAGGGTCTATACAGGAATGAGAAACTAATTTAATGCTTTTTAATGCTCTTAGAAATAGTCTTAAATTTTAAATACAGTAAACATCAACAAGATTCAGAGGCTGGCAGTGAAAACAAAAACAGCATGCAGCAGAGGAAAAATCTAAAATAAAACTAAAGGCTGTCTTGAACTTTTATAAAGGCTGTAGTCCTGTTTTGCAGGCAAGCTTACAAGACTTGTGGGATGCTAAGTCAGCGACTCCGATTGTGATTTCTTAACTGTGCAAGCTCATCATTCCCTGAGGGGAAATGCCAGACAGCGCTCGCTGCATAAAGGGCACTGCCTCACCCTTCAGCGACACACACCGATGCTCCCAGTCATAATCCATGACCTTCTATCTTTAGCATTTTGAAAGTGCTGTCATCTCCCTCATACCAAAATAATTCAAGTATTATGAAGAAACTGGCTAAGAAGCAAAAGTTTCCTTGAAGACTGAAAGTATGGTTAGTATGGTAATATCCTCTGAACCGCTTGATTAGCGCATTGAAGCATTTACATTTGTGATAACATGATATAAATAATATTACATTAATCTAAATATTACAGATGAAAGAAGCTGAAAGACAGCAATAAAAACCTAAGCTATGAAAAACTTCCATAGTTCCAAAACTGGAGAGAACTTACTATAACATCAAATTTCGAGTATATGTCCACCACTCGTCCTGCAAGACAAACAAGAATGTGAAACTGTAGGAAGATGTAGCTTTTAAATCGAAGCAATCCAAAAAAAAAAAAGAATTCAGCCAATCCTCATACCTTTATCATCAACAACAGGGAGCGCAGAGACTCGCTGCTCCACAAAAATACCCAGCGCCGTGTACAGAGGTGTGTCTGCACGGACCACCGCTATGTTTCTGAACGTCCCGATGTTCAGTTCCTCTAAGGTTTTACTCAAGAATGAGGGTCTTGGCATCTCAGATATCTGGTTACAAGAAACAGTATATATTTGATGAAAGACATAACAGAGTAACACTTTCAAGAAAAAAAACAACAAAAGCAGAATGTTTTGCCTACTTTAAATTTAGTTGTCAAACTTTGTTAGATAGATAAAAGCATAAAATTAGGATGACATGTATTGAGAGTCTTGTCTTGTGATCACAATTAGATAAACCCTGGTCATTTACCAGCTGGTCAGACACTCAGAAATACAATCAAAGTTTGCTTGATTCAATATCTGGGAGCTATTCAAAACAAAGCCAGAGGAAGCCCTGAGGTTTAATAGGCTTTGCAAAGGGAAACATTCGAGACAAATCAGTGGTTAATTACAGCTTTGAGACTGTGAAAGCATAGCTTTAGCAGCTAAGGAAGGTTGAACTAAGTAAAAGAAAGTTTTTTGTTTTTTTCATGTTCTCTTAGGAATACATAAGGAAATGTCGATTTAATATCAGTGGTTCTAATTACCAATATCCTATGCTCAGACTGTTTTAAAAACTGTCCAACATAGTCTAGCTGCAGATTTGCACTGTGAGGTCACAAATAAAAAGCGAAATAAAATAAAAGCTAGAATATAAGAAATATTTTTTTTCCTGTGTACATTTTGTGGGTCTTCACAATAAAAATAATTTTGTCTATACATGTGTTTAATGATTTATATATATAATCCTTTTCCAGTTCAACAGGATTAGGTTAAAAAACACAAGAAAATGTTCAAATAAAATTAACACAGTTCTTTTACAAAAACATCTATGTGTGTTTGCAAGTATTATATATTCTTTATTCTTTTAGTATTGTTTATTATTGTATTACATCTGTATTAAATGATGGGAACTTACAAAAAGCTTCAGGAACTTAAGAATCCTCTTGTGTGTGAGGATATATAGTGTGTTTCCTGTCAGGGGGTCGATTACAGGCAGTCTGTGGATCTTGTTCCTCAGCAGAGATGATACTGCATCATACAAACTGAGATATAATAAGAAAAAAAGGAACCAAGTTATTCCAACTCATGGAGACTGAATGTTGCTAGAAACATTTGGAAAATGTTAGTAGCAAATGTTTGTCTGCTGGGCCCCAGGCAGCGCAGAGCGGGACGAAAAGAGACTGAACAAACTAGTGAGAAAGGCTGCTTCTGTCCTAGGCTGCACTCTGGACTCTGAGGAGAGGATGTGGCTGAGAGGAGGGTGCTGTTCAAGCTTACGTCCATCATGGACAACACTTTCCATCCTCTGCACCAGACTGTAGAGGAGCTGAGCAGCTCCTTTAGTGAAAGACTTTTACAAGCTGTCTGTAAAAAAGAAGCGCTACCGCAGGTCATTCATCCCTGCTGCAACCAGACTCTACAATGCGACACTACAACACCAATAACATGCGCAATGTACATTGTGCAATTACTATTTGATACCCTGTACAATAACCTGTTTCTCTATATCTAACACCCAGGCAATAACTATATATATAAATATGCATCTATATAAATACCCATGTAAACACCCTGTGCAATAACCCTGTATAATAATCCTACTATAAAAAAAAAAGTTGTCATATGTGGACACACTGTATATATTGTATATATCCCATGCACCTTTTTCTTCCTTTGTTACATTCTCCTTCTCCTTTGACTATTTAAGCTGATGAAACAAGTAAGTTTCGCTACTACAAGATCAATTAAGTTAATCAATCAATCAAAAGGAACTCTGCTAGTTTGCGAACCATTTGCATCTTTGTTAAAAAAATATGTAATTAGTTTGCGGTTGTGGTTATGAAAATCATATTTAAATAGCATTTCACTTAATTAAAATAGGGTTAAACATAAGTTAATTTAAGTCTATAGAATGATGACATTGTTGACTCTGATTTAAAATGTCCATCTGACAGTAAAACAATGTATAATAACCACTGACCTTGCATTCGGAGATATGCAGACCAAAGGCTTGAAAGAGTCTTGAAGGTAAACCTCTAAAATAAGAAAGAACGAAAAATAACATAAAACACAACTAGTTAAAGGTCATAACTGCAACGTTTCTTCTCAAACTGAATAATTTTTCTAATATAAGACTTTGACAGATAATTTAAAATGGTGCAGAATAAACATATTAATTGAATTGAATAAAAAAAATTAAACAATAATTGCTTCATAAATTTTGATGGGTCCAAAATATATAAAAAAAAGTTGGTTAGTGTGCCAATATTTATAAAATGATTCTGCACCAATAGGAACAGTCATGAGCCTAGGCCGGCTGGAGCCTGGAGCTGTTTCAAAAATGTATGAAAATTGATTTTTTTTGTTTGTTTTAATATGGTGTGGATGAGGTTAAACAAAAAATTATTATGTTTTCCAATGCTGTAGACATTTGTATAATAAATAAATTTAAACAATAATTTGCGTCATAGCTTTAGAGATCAGTGGTCATAAATTGCAACCAGCGTGGCGTGGTGCCAGGTAAACAAACCTGCAGGTGTGTCTCAGACCATGCCTCCCAAAGGGAAAAAAAAGAAGATAGCTGATGAGAAAAGAGGATTCAAAGAATGGAGCGAATCATTTGCTTTCATTATCAATGTGGAAAGATTGCCTGCATTTTTGCTTTGTAAGGAGAGGTTGTCAAAAAATTAAGAAGCAAAATTTGAAAAGGCATTTCCAGGGAAAGAATGCTAAATATGCAGCCGACCACCAAGCTGCGAGGGAGAGAAAAAGCACGATTGCAGAATTTCTGGATAAATTAGAGAGCAAAGATAGATTTAAGAAGTGGATTGCATCTCCAAACTCCACTACTGCTGCTAGTTTTGTTGCAAGGATGGAAAACTGTCCACAGATCAAACAGGTAGCGCTTTGATACAGGTATGTAAACTTTATTCTATTTTTCCCCAAATCCAAAAAATATAAATCACACCAATGAACACTAGGGACAGAGGATGTGGGATTTCAGGGTTAGAGAGCACTGCTCTGATGGATGTCAGTTCCTGCTTGGTTCCTCATAACTCAATCAATTCCTCCCAACAGAAACATGCCCACCATAGAAAAATTACTTTATTGTACTTCTATAATTTCATCGATGCAACAAAACTTTTATCACCGCGCAGGGAAGGGTGGTAAAGCAGCGCATGGCGAGTGTTCAATGGTCCTCCCTCACCTCATGCTGCTATGTGACATTGGCTCCAGGATAAACATTTAATCATGAATGCTTATTATATATTTAAGCCAACATAGTGGGATAATACACTTAGAGCCCGTGTTGCCATACGAGGCATATATACGACTTTTACATTTTTGTTTTTTTGGTCCAATATGGCTCTTTGAGCAGTATGGGTTGCCGACCCCTGGCCTAGGCATTACAACATTCTATAGTAGAGCTGTGACAGCCTTGTGAAATGGCTTCTCAGCGTTACTTTTCTCAGATTTAAGACAAAACAAACAAAAATTAGGCAAAAAACCGGTGAACGTCAGTCACTTTTTTGAGAGCTGATGCTGACATAAGGACCCAAAGGGGCTCAGGAGCAACCCAGAGGTCCCCCCTTTCCTTCTGGACAGTCAAGCTAAATATTTGCCAATGCTAACCATTAGCATTAGCAGACCTGGCAGACAGCTTGCAAGCAGAAAGAGGACAGGCGAGTGTGCCTCAACTGGTCATAAAGACCAGTCCTTTAAATGATAAATGGTCACGTCTGGGTAAACTTTAAATGTTCTCACCCCTCCATGTTTCAATTTTGTGCTCTTCCAACTCATATATCTGAACCTGAAATATAAAAAGGTAAAGAGTTTAGCAACAATTTATATTTAGGATGCATACTTTAGGTATTAAAGGACCCAGCTTACCAATGGAGACTTGTAATAGCGATGAAGAATGTTAATAAAGTCTGTGATGGTTAGCATACCTGTGAATTGTTTTTAAAGCACAGTGAAACATTCATTAATGTTATAATGGTAAACACAATTGGGTTTTTTTTCAGTTCTTTCATTTTTCTACTGCTATCTTAAAGAAGATTATGAAAATTGCTCTTACCCACAAAGCACTGCTTCTTGCTGTCCCAAAGAGGGGCTGCCCTCACTCCGTTGGAAACAAGAGCAAAGAACGCCTTCTTCACCTGCAAGATAGTTCAAAAACACAGCTCAAATGTCTGAACAGAAGAATACACATATGAAGAGAATGTATTTGTTTTACCTGGAGTGACGTATCAAACACCACTAGTTTGGAGCTAGTGGGCACGAGGTCATAACAACGGTGGGACTTCATAAACCTGGTGTAAACATTTTGCTCTCGTTCTAAGGAGACAAGAGGGATCGTGATGAAGAATCACTTTTGAAACAGGTTTAGATTAAGGTGTAATATTTTTTACACAATCCTCTTACCTTCAGGTATTGGGTCCTTTTTGCTTTCAATGTCATCAATGGGTACAGGAATCTGAAAGAAAATTATCATTATTGTTAGGATTTAAACGATTAGAGGTCATTTTTATTTGGTGGTCTTAAGGTGTTATAAACTGAATAGCTTTACCAGATATCTTTGCAAGTCATCTGTTTATAGAAACCAAATTAGTTTCTAACAGCTTTTCATAGCAGGACAAAGACACAAGCTGATTTCTTTTTTGTTTTCATCAGCTACACTCACAAAAAATGAAGCTGTGTATATGCAGGATGTTTTACAACAGTAACCTCACCATTAGGTAGTGATTCACACTGAAACCAGTGATTATCTAGGACACCCACTTCAAAACAAAGTAATACTTTGAACGACATCAAGATAAAGTGATATAGAAAGGTGTAGAGGGTCAGGTTAATTTCATTTTTACATTATAATACTTCTCCAGGCATTAACCTCTAGTTAAACACATTCAATTTCATTTATTATGGGTTTTTCAAATGAGAAGACTGTTGTGATAAACTGCGACCAACCTACAAGTTTTACATAAAGAGCAGCGTAATGTAACATTTACAGAGGTGATGAATCCACAAAACAGTTTTCATATGTCATTTTATAGACAAATGATTGTTGATAAAACCACCTCCTGTGAAGAACTCTGTTTTATCAAAGCTAACAACTTCGTATCAGAGTGAGTTAAAACAAGAAAGATGTCCCCCATTTTTATGTAGGTTTTCACGGATCCTTTCTTTGTTAAATTAGACTCAAATAAGTAGGTGTTGCTTGTTATATTTTAAATATAATCAGCTGTGTATAAATGTGACGAGCTTTATGGGACTATTTTGTGTTATTTTTTTAAGTTTATGCTATTTTTATTTATTTATTGTAAGGGCAACAATTTCTAAACAAAATCTAAACATAAAGACTTTCTGATAATAATTACATCCTTTCCAAAAGTTATACCCAATACTGTAGAAGACTAACAGTTTAATAATACTATATTTACTTCTACTCATTAACATTGTCTATACTTAGACAATACTGTAATACATGTATCTGGTAGAACAGACTTTCACTGCCCTTGATACTCACAGCTGATACCAATTTTAGTAAATGAGATGCTTAAGCTTAAAACGGATTAGCAGCAGCAACATCGTTACGACTGGATAAACACAAGAGAGAAAACTCAACTCTCAACAATAATTTACCTCCACTGTTGCATGTGTTGTTATTTACAGTATCACAAAAACAGCAAATAATAAGTTACCTACAAAATCTAAATTATTCTTTTAGATCAGTTTGGCCACAAGAGCAGTTGCTCTTAAAGGAAAAGTCCATCAAGGAATAACCATTAGGTCATTATGTATACCTAAAACTAATATATTTGCTGTGATTTAATTAATTTAGCTTTAATCGGCCAAAAAATTAAAACAATGTTTTTCATCGCGATCACTAAGTCCGAGACCGGCCATTTTTGCCAAAAGATAGTAACACCTCAATCCTTACATCTTCTGGCAGTGACGTCGGGGTGAGGTAAGCCTAGCGCCATTCTCCCCACTTTACAAGCAAACTCAATCAGAACTAATAGACACATCTGCAATCAAAAACAATTATTTAAGATTTAGAGAGGACTTCACCATTGAAATTCGTGAGAGCTATAGTTTAACTGACAATGCCCGCATACATGGCAGTTGGAGGTTGTAAAATATCAGGTAAAAATGAAAAAAAAAGTTAGTTATTTCACCTTTCCTATTCATTATCCACCACGGGTTCATCATTAGATTGCCAACTGGAAGAGGGAGGATTTGTCATCAAACTTCTGGCCACAGATAAAACACGTCATTAATCCATTAATCTCTGCTTCGCATAGTGCACTGGTCATCGCCATCATAGATAATAGCACGTTGTGACAAACACCAGATATAGCACTGGGACTTGCTCAACAGCCGATACCGCAACGTGATGTAACTGGTAGGTGGCAGCAGTGCTCTTTGACAAACATGGAGGTCTCCAGTAAAGCACATTCAAATGAAATTGCTCTTAATTAAAGACACTTATCATTTACTGAAAGCATGTAATAATTTCATATTTAAAGTACTTTTAGAAGTTTGTATTCTGAATGTGACATGACTTTTCCTTTAAAGAAAAAATATTTAAGCCCCCAAAAATAAAAGAAACTGAATTTCTTTCTTTTTGTATGTATATCCAGGGGGAAAAAATACTCAATAAAATTGTTAACTTTAGCTTGTTGTGTGATAACAACATACCAGGTGAGGAAAATTTTGGCTCCAACTGTTGTAGATTTGATTAAACAAATGCTTTTATATTTACCAATGGAGGGATTATTTTATATATTAATAGTTAGGCAGCAGGCATTTGAAAACCTTTGGGATCTCTTCGTCAAATAGGCAAAGGATTTAAATCTAGTAGATGTTGAAGATGAAATACCTCTGTAAGGCTTTGCTGTTTCTAACTCTAAATAATAAAAATATACGTACAAAAACTCTTGATGTCTAACAGACTTTGGTAAAGTTGCATGTATGCATTATGTATGTGAAAATAACAAATTGATGTTCGTACTGTACTGGTGGCCAAAGAATACTGATGCCAGAATCGTTCATTATTTGTTCTTTGTTGAATTTTTATTAAATAAATAAAGATATTGCTGATTTAAAAAAAAAAAAAAAAACTGATTCAAAGTTGTTGGTTCAATGTGCATTGACTGACAGATTCAAGACTTGATTGACATATGTTATCCCAAAGTTGGTTAGAAAACATTTTACTCATATAAGAGTAGCACTACTTGATTGTATTTTTACTCAAGTAAAAGCAACAAGTAAGAGTGAAAAAGTACCTGTATTTGTTAAACTGCCTGATCAATACTGAGTAACTTAGCAAGTATCTACTTGCTACTAATCATCGTAACACCTGGTTTAACATTTTAAAATGTTACACAACACATAAAGTTATATGCAATTTCTAGTGTTTCAATTAACAAGTTAAAAAAATTACTATACAACATACAACAATCACACAATAATGGTTTCAGATGAAAGAAACTTTCAAAATATAATTAATTTAGGGTAAAATCAGGTAAGTTACGTCCAGTGGAAAGATACAGGATAGGTACTGTTTACTGTATTTCTACTTCTTGACCTCCTAATGACACAGCAGGATCAACAGATAGAACATAACATTAAACAAATGCAGAACAACGAAATCAAGTCCCACTTAATTATAAACTGTAGGACTTTGTCTCTCTGGTGTACCTCTGTTCAAAGCAAGCTAGCTCAAAAAAAATATCCCATCTGCCTCTTATGCTGTAATTCCTTGCCTGAAAATAAGTTGTTATAGTGGACAATTATTTCAATCTAAAAGATAAACAACATAAAAAAGGTAAACTTTAAACATAAAAGCGAGGTTAAGAAGTCATAGGAAAGGGATGATAACGTTAGTGATCTGGTCTCTGGTAGAGCGAAAAACAATGTCTTAATCTCTGTTCTACCAGATCAACACTGTCTAATCTTTCCCAATACACTGTCATATTTATCCGCCCGTATTGAGGGTACATCTAAGGTTATCAGTGCTGTTTTCGAGGGAAAACTTTAGACTTTAAATACCATACATTTGCTTTGATGAAATTAATAATTTTGAAGACATTTGCTTATGGAAGGATATGGTTGCATTTACTTTAAAGATTCCTTCTAGAAATAAGTTTAGCTTTAAAACTAAAGAGAATCCTCAGCTTTGCTGAACTATTGATTTTTGGTTAATAGTAAACAGGCTCTCCATCTTAAACTAGCGTTTACCGATTAGCCAAATAATGTTTTCACAGGTTAAGTTAATACTTCAAGTGATTTCCTGGAGTAATAGAACCCGGGTTGGGAATGACAGATAAACACGAACTTCCCAGTGTTAGAGCTGGAGGGATGCGGCTAACTGTGCTGTAAAACTCACAAAGGCAGTCAGCAAACTGGTTAAACATCAAACTGGTGTCGCAAGCAACAGTTTAATCTATAACCATCCTATGTAAAACCAACACCGCCGTTTTTTTTAAAGCGGTATACAAACTAAATAAAGATAGTTTTGTTAACAACAATAGCATCGGTGTTAGCTTGTTAGCTAGCTAGCATAACAGTTGGTTGACTTTAAAAACCCCCAGTCGAGGTGACTTATTTATTCTCAAGCTTTTAATAAACTCTACATATCATTAGGCTGAAATTAGTGTTGAAAATTGTCTTTTATTTTTTCTAAAAATTGACCTCTCTTATAAGCTTTCCTAACCTTCATGGCAGAGATTATTGTTGAAACATCTAATAAAAAGCTGGCTAGCTGTTCGCAATTTAGCGTAAAGCTAAAAAATTATATATCCGAATGGTCGGGTTGCTTGATAATGTTTTCGAAAGAAGAAAACCCGTCAAAATAGATAAACTTACACACTCCATGTTCCACCCGGTCTACGAACTGATCCCACAAAGCCACTCAAAGCGCCTTCCGCTGTAATGCGGAGCGAGCTGTTACCGTAATATACGTGGTATTCACGCAACGGATATTGCTTTAGAAATGGTAATATATCAACGAACTTCAAAATTTCTCATCAGTGGGTTAACAAAATTGTAGCAACTATGGTATGTAACAATAAACAATTAAATTACTGCTGAAACAAAAAGCTAATTTAAGCTGTATAAAATAAGATTTATCCTCCATGATTTAAATATGACACATTTTTGATTATCAGGTCAAATAACAAAATTATTAGCATAGAATATATGCCAGAATGATGAGAGAATATTTCAAAAGACTTTTATAAATATGTTTCTTGCATTATTTACTTTTTTAAACTGCGTTTTACCACAAAGCAGACATTTTGGCTATCTTTCTTGTAAGATACTGGTCAGCCACTTTAACTGATGTACTTGTTTTATGGGAGTTTAATGAAGGCCACACGGAAGCACTTATTCAGCTGCTTTTAACTCATTTGCAATAAGAAAGAAACATTTTAGCCATAGCTTCACTTTCTGTCTTAAAATGTTTAAGATTTCAACAATGTTCTGTTGTAATGACTGAGGTGCATTGGTTACTTTCCACAGCAGGATGGGATGTCTCTTAAAAACTTGCAGGTTTTCACCTTCCATGATCTAATAATCACATTCTTATACTACACTCCAGGGCATGTTTCCAAAAAAATTAGGGCCCTGGTGCACGAGTAAGGGCTCCTTCTTCTCGAAGCCACGTTTCTGCTCATGTTTTTGTTTTGCCTTTCTCCACTTTAGGCTAATACACATTTCCAACAAAGTATGTTCATCTGTGGGGTAAAAAGACCCATCTCTTCTCCAAACAGCATGGTGTTTACCTTCATCTGTGAATTAATTGGAAATCATCACACATAATCTTTAACTGCCACATCTTTTACTTAGATCCTAGACTTACGCTAGTAAATCTAAATAATTATTTCAGAATATTAGGAAAAGTCTAGATTGTTACTATATTAATTCCATTTTCATAAAAATACATTTTATTATTCTTAATAAATCAGAGACCTCGAACAAGTGACAGGTTTGTTTATTTACAAAACAGTTTACAGCATGATTTCTGAATTACCACTGACCCACAGGGGAATACTCCTGTTCAGGTGCACAACACCTGCACCTATTGCGTCAAGTCAATAGAAGGAAGAAAAGAAAGGGAGAGAGAGAAAAAAAACACTAACTAAACTTAAGAGCACCTTGAGTCAAGGAAAGGAAGCAGATGCAGTAGTTTGAACATCTGTAAGGCACAAGACACAGCATCACCAGCCTTTGCTCAACTACCATCAGTTACCCATCATTTAACTATGTATGCAAAGCATTTTAAGAAGTTAGAAGTATCCACTACAGCTACAATGAAAGGCTTTCAGAGAAAGAAACTACTGTACATTAGGCTAAAGGTTTAAAAAGCAAGACAAAAACCAACGGATTTCAAGTGTTTGACAGTGACCGTTTGTCAGAACAGCTACAGGCACTAAGGTTGGGTTTTTATTAAGCATGTCAACAATTTAAAAAATTACCATATTAACTCTGTGGCCTCCTTCATAGTATTTTGTAATACTAAAATGCATTTCAAAAACTGAAACTTAAGATTGTACATATTCTGTATATAAAGGGCATAACTTATTAGCAAATATCCTCTCCATCTACAAGTAGAAGTTGGGAGTATTTATTACGCTGAATGGGAAGCAATTATTACTACAGATAAAAGGCATGTACGTATGGATCTTGGTAATGAGTAAAAAAAAAAAAAATACAATTATGGAATCATGTCATGGCGACATAACCACAGTTCGGGAGTGAAAGGTACCTGAAGATGAGTAGATAGAGATTACAGTGAAAACTAAAAAAAAAAAAAAACTCAGTGAGATTTCATCCGTTGAATATCCTCCCAGAGTACTGAGGGAATTCCTCTTTTATGACACATTTTAAGCAATGTGAACGTAGATTGCATCTGTGAAAATGATCAGCTGAAATAATGGACCAAAATGTGGGATGTTTTGGACAGCTGCTTGGCTATGGATATATATCGGAATTCTCAGGGGAGAGCAAACATTCTTCTGCTGCATCCTGGCATCCATGAGGCCACAGCTAGCAAGTTGGTGAAGTTGTGCCTGATGTCTTCAGTAAATCAGCTCACCGGTGTCCTGCAGAACACTTTACATCACGGAACACTTCTTTTCCTCTGGCGGTGCATTCCCGTCAGCCTTTTCCATCTCCAAAATGATTCGCTTGAAAACCTCCACGGCAGTCTGTGTTAAAAAGATCTTTGTCAGACATCGTTTGCAGACTGCAACAATTAAATTATATCTGGGGTTGATTTTTGAGGGCTTGTTACCTCATTTTCTTTGGCGGAGGACTCCATGAAGGCAGCTCCCCAGGAATCAGCTAGTTTTTTTCCCTCCTCTGGTTTGATAACCCTTGAAGTTTATAGACACAGCACATAATAGAAGTGAGGAAATATCTTACATATATATATCACTCCAGGGCAAGGGTTCAAAAGGGATAGGAACCCCTAACATTGATTAAAAAATAAATAAATGAAAGCATTGAAACCATTTTTTAAACTCACATTTTTATCAAGTAGCTGGGCCAAAGAAAAAAAACTGTCTGGATAATAATAATAATAATAAACAAATTAAGTAGCACTCCTAAAGCCCTTCATCAAGGATTAAAGAAAACAAATTTGTCTATTTAAGCATTTTAGGTGCCTTAATTACAGCGACCTAACACATAAATACTCTAACCGAAGAAAATATATAAATAAAAAAACTATTTTGCTAAGAGATTTTTCAAACCAAGGTTTGATTTTAATGCATTATGTCTACCACAAGATGGCAATAATGCATTTGTTTAAGGACTTTTCAAGAATAAAGTAACTTTAGCATTAGAATGTTTGGGCTTTCAAATCTGCTCCTAACATTGGATGTTGAGAAATCAGAAGCTGTGTTTCAACATTGAGGCAGAGTGTTTAAGTTCAACCAACTATATTGGTCAATAAATACAAAAATCCTGTCATGTTGGGAACATTCTGAAGAAAGTTTTTCAAGACATGCCGATAATAGCTGCATCGTACCCTAGACAATCACTTTAACACCCACCTTTCCATGTGAAGATCCTTTTTGTTTCCTACAAGAACGGTTGGAACCCTGAAAAGTAACAGTTTAAATGAAAGTTACACACATAAACAAATATATATGTATATATAAATGATGAATTGATTTTGAAGGGACTTACTGAATCTTCCCAACCATGTCTAGCAGCTTGTCATGTAAAACCTGCACAACTTCAAAACTGGACAAAGAAAGAAATTATTATTTTGAGCATTGCTCTGAAATTAGTAATCAACTTTTTAAGCACAATCTTGGCATCACTTCAACATTTCAACTGCTGTTTAACTTCTAAAAACCACAGGTTGGACAGCAATTGTGTCCGGGCTGACGGCTCGGTTCGAATGCCCGGTGTGCCCGCTCGTTGTAAACCAACCAATCAGTGCACAGCTCATCTAAATATGCATGAGGATACCATAAAAAAAGAGAAAACCTGTAGGACTTTTAACCAGACTTGCATTAGGCCTCATAGAACAGCATTTTTAGCCCAACTAATGTTACACACCCTATTCCGATACCTTAAGGACCAGCACCAAATACCCTATAGAATCATTCTATTTTTCTTGGGTTATCCGTTTCCCTAAAAGATCTGTCAAATTATATGGTGCATAAAAAAAAAAAAAAAAAAATTTAAGGGAGGGTAATGCTTCATAATAGCTATCAGAATTTGCTGCTTGGCTATTTGCCTCCACATTTAACCCACCACCTTTGGGAGCAGGTGGCTGCCATTGTGGGGCCCCCGGGGAGCAGTGTGGGGTTAAGAGTCTTGCTCAGAGACCCTGGCTGTCGGGATCAAACCAGGTACTTGCAACCTTCTCAGAGCACAAGCACACTGCTCTAACCACTATACCAACACTCCCTATACAAGCACACTAAACACTGGCTGTGCGATTGTAAGAAGCATTTTTCTGCACACAACCAGAAATAGGGATGCAAACATATCAGACCCACTACCAGGGTCATGTACCCATAAATGTAAAAACAAGATGGATCATATTTATGGTTGATAAAGATCATACATCAAAACAATGATGACAAACTGCAGCTGTCAGGGGGAACATCTCAGCTGAAACAGATCCAAGGTACGTCTGTTTTTGTCTGGTTAGCATTTCATAGAATACAATCAAAACTGTGTATTATATATCCTTGGTCAACTTTTATAATAATAATAATAATAATACATTTTATTTAACAGCGCCTTTCTTGACACTCAAGGTCACTTTACAAATAATACAAAAAATAAATAAAAAGAGATGAAAATACAAAATACAGATACAGGAACATAAAAAAACAGAGAACAAAAAACAAAAAAAAAACAAAAATTATCGTCATTTTGTGTACACAGAGTTTATACAAAGCGAAATTTCATTTTGTACAGCTTTCATGACATTTCCATTTCTTAAAGTACAGCAGTGTTTAAATGTAAACAGTGTGGGGGAAAAAAAGGAGGTCCAAAAAAAATTGATATGGAAGTTCAGAGCATTAAAAATATATGGTGCAATTATGCAGTGTTTTGGTTTGGTGTTGTCAGTTTGATGCAGGGTCATGTACTGCAACATTTGTACGTACTTAAAGACAAAAACTAACCAGTATAAAATAAGGATATATAAAAATTTGATTGTATATAAATTCCTAATATAACTAATTTTTTTTTTGTTACGAAAATGAACAAAACCAGAAATGCCTCTTTGTTTCAAAGCCGAATTGCCTCGGTCCCTGTTTAAACATATTTCCTACCAAATGAGTCTGATAGAGAGCCTGTTGCAAATCAACTAACTGCATTTAAACGCTGAAAAGGCTGAATGCCTATGATACCATCATGTGGTGAACATTTAGAGGCAATATCTAAAAGAAAAATGAAGATTAAGAAAACTTCTTATGATTTTGCTCAA